TCCGCTCGGTGCCGCGTGTGCGTGTGCCAGCGGCGCGGGATGTCCCTCGAGCAAGCTTTGCACCGGGTGTCTCAAGAACGGCGTCTGCTCCGGTGACTTTACGACCGCGTCCGAGTGCAACACGTTCGCGAGCGCCAAGTGGTGCGGCGCATAAGCGCAATAGCGTCTATCGTTCGTCAAATTGTCAAGCCCACGTGATCCAGACGTCCACGTAATTGTTTAATGTACTACAAAATTTACTCTGCGATTGCGGTTGCTGCGGCCCCATCTCTCAATGGACGACGTCGCTGGACAACGTCAAGGTGGAACCACGAGATTGGGAACCACGAGACGCTCGTTGCAGCCAAGCCAGAGGCGATCTCAGGTTGTTGAATGTATTTTGGCTAGGGATTGCTATGCGCATGCTTTTGGGTAGCCAACAATTAAGGCACGAGTTCGACTTGCATGGCTTGCTCACTGAGCCAGACAGTCGGGATAAGCTCGTATGTGTCTGGGATCTGGCCCAGCACGTGCGCAATGGCCTTGCCGTTGACTTCAAACCGAACGTGATGGCCAAAGACGTCCCAAATCGCCGTCACCACCAAGTCGCCTTCAAGAATGGCCGCTGGCGACGTGCTCTTCTTGGTCGATACGCGGCGTGTTGGGTCAAAGCTATGCAGCAGCCCAGACGGACAGCGAAAGAAATAGCCGGCGCGGACATCGGTTGTCGTCATCATTGCCGACGTTGAGAACCCAATATCGACCGGGTGCAGCGGCGAGACCTTGACGACAAACCGAGTAGCTGTCGTCGCTGCCATGACGTAGCTGTCGCCGGCGCGCAGCACGCGCTTGGTCACGAGGGTCGCGTCCTTGGTCAGATCGAGGTGCTTGCTCATGCGTTGCGGATCCCACGCACTTGCCGATGGCTCGTCCAAGGAAAAGTAGTGTAGGAGCCACCGAAATTCGCGCTTTCCGATCGCGTCAAGGCCCGTGAGGCTACAGTCGCCGGTGCGGATGTAGCGCATGAGCCGGCCAAAGTGTTTAGGGTCCACGTCAATAAAGTACTCGCCTACTCGAGTGGGTGAGGCGTCGAGAACGTGTCGCGAAGGGTACCGTCGGCGTTGGGCTGCCAGACCTTGGACGCGAGCATCGCGTGGAAGAAGCTGCCTTCGAGGCGCGCGAGGTTGGCGCGCGACGTGGCAAACTTGGTGCCACCAATGTTGAGCGAGACGACGTCGGCGCCGGCCACCGCCTGCCGCGCCATGCGCGCCTCGGTCGCGCGAAGCGCCTCGGCCTGAACCTGAACCTCGCGCATCTCCGACTCGAGGTCGGCGATCAATGTGTCGAAGGCGCCATGGCGCTCGGGCGGCAGCGCGGCCTTGAGCGTCGCCCAGCGTTCGTCCAGGTCCATGGTCTTCAATTCCAACATGACCTTTCGACCATCACTCTGTCTCTAGTTTCGGCAGGACTGCCACATTTAAAATTCATGCCACATTGTACGGGGCACACAAGGCATATCTCATTGGCTAGAATTCTTGTAGTTGTGGCCAATCACAGGCGATTGGCGTCGCCACGTCCTCGGTGAGCGACCACTTCGACGCCCCAATCAAGTTGGACACGAAATCGCTCTAACTTTGCATACAGATAAAAGACGCTTTGGAGAGTACGTTGCGCTATGTCGCATAGTTTGGCGACTCGTACAGCACGAGAAATGGCCATAGTTACTAATCATGGCAGACGCCAACTATAACCATATAAAGTATCTAAATGTGCCTATTCATGGCATGCGCCAAGATGAAAAAGCAGAGCTCCGCCACAGGAAAGCACTGGAAGGCAGCAAGCATCACCCGTCACAGGTCTCGCAATCGACGCCAGTGAAGCGGTACCTTGCGCCTCGTCCTTAACTTCTCGAAGGTTTCGTCAATCGTTCTTGCTGTACTTTTGACGATCGTTCACCGTGGTTCACCGTCCAACTTACAAATGACATTATGTTATATCAGAATCGATTGTTAACATAACGTCTACTAGTATTGGTCGAAGGCGCCGCGTACTAGACGTCTTCGCACCAGTGCCCACCGGTCATTTCCACCGATGCATCGCGCTCGCCGAGACGCACGATCGGGTAGAGTGGCGCGTCCGTCGGTACGAGGCGGAAGGGCGAGACAAGCATGTGGCCATTGACTTCAAACGAGACCTCACGCGCCGCTTGGTTGAAGGACGCGGTGACAATGAGCTTTCCGCGCTGCTTGGGAAACGGCTTCTTCTCGTGCGCCGAGTACGCGTACCCGCGCTCGCAGCCAAAGAAGAAGCCCGGGTGCAGCGCATGGCCTTTGTTGGGCTCAAACTTGGCGCGCGTCGTAAAACCAATGTCGACGTGGTGGTGGGCGAGCACTCGGACGGAAAAGAAGGGCGACGGCGCCGTCGCCAGGACACTGCTCCAGCCCAGGCCTTTCTGCACCACGACCAGATTGTGCATCTGGAGCTGCAGCGAGTGGCCGCAGTACGCTGGGTCCCACTCGGTTGGCACGAAACTCAACTGGAGGTAGTCGAGGAGCCGGCGAAACTCGCGCACGTCGGCGGATGCCAGTCCGTCAAAGCTCAGTGTTCCGGTCCGAAGATACGCCACGATCCGGTCAAAATACGTGGGCTCCATATCGATAAAGTACTCGCCTAGTCGCAGGACGTGCTTATTGACATCAGGATCGTGCAAGACGATGGAAGGTACCGCGCGCGTTGGGCTGCCACAGCGCCGATTCTACCATGGTCGAAAAGTAGCTGCCTTCGAAGCGGAGCAGGTTGCTTCGCGTCGTCGCAAAGCACGTACCGCCGACATTGAGCGTGACCATCTCGGCGGCGGCCATCGCAGCCGCGGCGACGCGTGCCTCCATGGCCGGCGTCACGGGATGGCCTAGAGGCTTGGGCATGCGCGGGTAGCGCTCGACCTCGCGCTCCATATCCTGCAGGAGCTGCATGGCATCGACGACGCCAGGACTCTTGAGCTCGAGCTTGGCCTGCGGCGCGAGCTCCTTCTTGATGCGGTCCCAGCGCGCCGCCACCGCGTCGTCCACGCGCATGAGGCTTGGCCGGCTTCGACCGAAAAAATTGCACCGAGTTGCAGATCCAACTCTGGAATTGAGTATAATCTCTCAAAGGATGTGGCTGGATTGCGCGATTGGCTACGTGCACGCAACCAAAGTCAACGTTGCGTGTGCATAGAGGTACAATGCACGGTTTGGCTAATTGCACCTTGTTGAAGTTGGTTGGCGTCATGAAATCGACGCGCCATAGCACGCAGAGAAGAGCGCAACAACGAGTGCCCCCCTGGGCATGTACGTAGCGCGCAGCGTGACGTAGCAAAGCAGTAGCCTTCACCGTCGGCCGGTAGCTCATGCTCCTCCAACTTCTTTGGCCCATGTATCGAGTTTTAGTGTGTATTGAAAGATAGAGGTCTGGAGTATGTTGGCCAGCTGCACGTTCACAACACTCGGCCTTGCACCCCAAGTTCCTCGACTCGCGTTCCCCCTCATCCAAAGCTTCTGTCCCTACGCTAAGCTCAAGCGGTGGGTCGTCAAGACGACGATGGCGACATGGATCCGTGAGTTAGAGATGAACGGTGTGTCTTTTGCGGCTTTCGAAAAGGTTCACATGGCTGCGATGGCGGGCATGTACTTGGAGGCCGAGCAACATTACCTTCATCATCGCGTCTCGATATAGTGCGGCATCTATCAGCACTTCACCCCAGTCATCGCACCTGTCGAGTTTGTGGACTTTGGCGATTGGCCCTGCCGCGGTATCTCGAGAAAATCGGCGCGCCACCAGTCGACCCGACTTTGAGGTACTTGGAGCCATTGATTATGGGCCATAAATCGTCGCTGACAGGCGAGTTCCTTCAGATGGACCACACGTTCCGCGTGGCCAAGTTCGGCAAGGATGCCAACGGCGAGAGGGAGTACAACTGCATGGCAACAACCATGAACAAGCACCAGGAGGTTGATTACCAAGCTGCCCTGGACAGTCATCGCTCTTTACTATAAGCTAGCATTTAAGAATGTACATTTGCACGATGGATGCGATGGAAGATATTCAATCGCCTCCTACTTATGGAGCCTTTCACACTGTGAACGTCAATTGGATTGGTGTGTCAAAATTGGTATCCAGCGATCCTATTCGTCGTTGGGAATTGATATCCAGGCATTTGATTGACTGTTGCATAGGATGCCGAATAAGTACATCGTCCAGAAATCGAGCCCCCGATCCCGGAAAACCTCCGGGCCAATGGCATTGGAATCTTCTGCAGGTACTACCACCAATCATTTCCTCACGGGCGATTCAAATGCACTAGGAGATGCGCGTTTTTCGTTGGAGGCGTTCGGAGAAGCGTCCGAGTCGGACGACGCTGGTGCGCCGAGCAGCGAATGGCCCATCGAGTCGCTCTCCAGCATCAAGTTCAGCGACGGTCTCTTCATGTTTCTTGCCAACGGCTTGGTGAACCTCCCGCGCGATCCCAGCAACAACCACCAGGCCACATTGAAGGCTGCGTTGTACCTGGCGCAACGCAGCCCCAAGTTCCGGGACGTCGTCTCGGCCCATCGCTCGGGCCGCTGCACCCGGGCGCAGCTGTTTGCCGCATGCGAACAAGTCTCCGAGGCGATCGACGCAGAAATCAATTGCTTCATCGAGCAACGCGACGCAGAGGCCAAAGCCACTGGGTCGTCGACGCGGAAGCGGCAACGGACAAGCCAACGGTCCATCTCCGACGCGGTCCAGCTCCTTAAGAAAGCGCGCCACAGTCAAAACCAGATCAGCCACCGCGAACCAGACGACGGGTCTGATGTCGTCGTCCATGTATGAAAGAGAGACATCTATCAAAATTCCTTGGGACTAATATATACAGTACTTGGCGTTTCGCGTGCTGTTTGCTTGCGCTGACACTACCAGGTAGGCGCATTAAGAACTTGTTGGTCCTACCTCTCAAACGACCAACACTAGCACTCAGCAGCCAGCGAGACCAGACCCAGACCACCATACTAAAATGGGTTCGAAGCCATACAAACGATACATCGTGGTGTTGTGGCAGGAGCGGTAAGCGATAGGAGTGAGAACGCTGATCACCACTCGTTCGCCGAGCCGCTGGACAATAGTCGCGCTTGCCATACATCCAGCGATCCATTCCGTTCTGAAATCACAACCAAATCGCCCTCGTCTTGCCCTAGCGCATGACCGACGGTGTGTACGCGTCGCGCCTCGAGACGTTCAAGGACGCGATAGCCGCCATCTCCAAGGCGGTCGGAGATCACTTGGGGTCGATTGTCGACAAGCAGCTCGACGAGCTCGCTCTGCGCACCGAAGCACTCGCCGCCTTGGAAGCACGCATGGCCGACGAAGCGGCGACCGCCGACGCCAAGATCACGCTCAACGTCGGCGGCTCGATCTTTGCCACGTCACGCGAGACGCTGCTGCAGTTTGAAGGCAGCTACTTTGCCGCCATGCTCTCGTCGGGCTCGTGGCAACCCGGTGACGACGGCGCGTACTTTATCGACCGAGACCCACGTCACTTTGAGCGCGTCATGGCCTTTCTCCGGTCGGGTGCCGTCGACTTTGACGGGCTTGATCGCGTCAACGCCGCAGTGCTCTGTGATCATTTTGATTACTTTCTCTTGCCGCTCCCACCCGTGACGTGGGATGGCATGTACTGCCACCCGCAGCTCACGCTCTCAGAGACGATGACCGTCGCGACTGCCGATGGTTCGCTGACGGGGAAATGGAACGTTTTGGCCACGCGCGCAGTGCTGTCGTTCACGGTCAAACTGCCTGCGTCTCACACGACGATCGACATTGGCTACATCACGCGCGACCAGTTCTACCCGTCGGGCACTCCCGGGACCCTCTTTTTCACGTGGGATACCAACACCACAGATACCAAGGGCCGCGGGATTGCCAATCCAGCGTTTCCCACCGAGAACGCAATGCTGACGTGCGTCTGGGACAAGGCGGAGAGCATGCTCCGCCTCCACGTCAACGGTGTACAGTCGCACTTGACAAAGCCGGTCGACGGTTGGGCCAACTGTACCCATGCGTTCGTATCGCCTCGGCCAACGCCCGCGTGGAACTCTCGTCGGTCGAGGCGTTGTAATGCTCTCGTCAACGAGGGAGAGAGAATGCCCTCGTTGGGCATGCTCGGATTTGCCTACTATGGGTGAATATAACGGCTTGATCGTTCTGGTTGTATGTTGTTGCCGTGGCCGTGGCCGACCCATGAGGTCGACCTGCGACCAGAGCCTTTAAAATACGTACCTAGTACAACTTGCACCATTCCGCGTCCCTGCTTCCTTCGAGATTCGGGTTGCCCATAACAATTGATTCTCTATGAAGGAGCCACGATGATTGATGGGAGACTTTCTCGTCATACGATAGCAATGGATGGATTACCATAACAGCCAAAGGAACGCATACGGACGTAGTGCCGACTTGACGCAGGTCGGTAAACTCGTCGGCGCCCCCACTCTGCCCAAACTCTTAGTCCACTCAAGTCTCGGCGACATCGTTGCCCGTGGGTGAGGCCTGCGCGCTGTGGCTCGAGTCGCGAATAAAGAGCGCCGTCGACTTTAGCTGACGCCGCGTTGTATGTAGTAGATCGACCCAATATGCGACATGTTTATATCAATCGCTTGATCGATGAGCTCTTGAAGCGCGATCGACTCTTCTTTCGAGAGCTCTTTGAGTGGCACGCGCGTGTCGGCAATGACGAGCCGGTCGCCATACGTAGCAAGTGACGCGACGTGGTGGAAGCGGAGGCCTTCGTTGCGGCGGATCCACGGCGTCTCCTGAATGTCGCTGACGTCGACGTCGGACGTTTGCGGCGGCTTGGCGATCTGGATTGCATCGCTTGGGATGTTGAAGACTCTCTCGAGCTCGGCCAGCAGCGCGTCCATCCAGTGGATGCCGGGCGTCTCGGTGGAAAGTGAAATCTCCACGAGGCGCCCAAAGCGAAGCGTCGACCGGTCAAAGAGCACGACCGAAAACAGCGTGTGCGACGACGGCAGCGTGTCGACCGCATCCAGAATCTCAACCGCAAACTCGCGGTTCTCATACAAGGTGAGCGCCGAGGCTTCGCCGACCGTCCTTGGTCCGTGACTATATCACGTGGTTTTGCTTTCCCTGGAGCTTCCTCGCGCGCCATGGACAGCTAGAATCGAGGCCTGCCGGCCGGCCTATAGCCCTAACCGGCGCCCGAGGGATCGGGGATACGGTTGCGTGGAACTAGCCAGTGGAAACGGCATGCAAGAGCTCTCGGACGAGAGCCTCCGCCTGATCGAAGCCGAGTTTGATGCCCACCGACGCCACGTCGAGGCGACGCGCGAAGCGTACCAGCGTCAAAAGGCGGCGGCACTCACACAAAAGGCGACCGATCTGCGCGCGACGCTCGGCGACCTCGACGCCCAAGTGGCTGCATCCCGGGTCGCCCGTCAAACCTTGCGCTCGCAACTATTCACAAGGAAGGTCCACGTACAGTCGCAGATGGCGCAGCAACTGGAGCTCCAACGAGAAGCGTGGCACGTCACAAGAAGCCACGAGCTCGAAGAAGCGACGCGCCGGCGCTTGGACTTGGAGCAACTGCAGCAGAAACGACAACATCTGGTACACGCGACCACACCCTCGCCAGCACGTATATCTGCATTTGACTAGGAGCGCCTTGAGCAAACATCCATGATACAGCTGGATGCGATTGATGCCGAGCGATCGCGGCGGCGGCAGCGCGACGTCAACCAGATTGAACACTTGCTCGTCAAAGGGTCGGTGCTCGAGCGCCAGCTCCCGCACGACGCCTTGCTGGATATTGTGGCGGAGACAACACCGACCATCCAGTCGGTCCACTTTTCCAACGAGTGCGAAGGTCGACTGCGCATCGAGCACGAGCAAGCGACGCACCGACGTCACGACCAGCTTCGGCAGCTCAACGCCGACCGCGCTGCTCTTGAAGAACACGAGGAGAAGCTCCGGCAAAAGCAACGCGAGCTCCATTACTTGGCGTCCAAAGGCGTCGACTTTCTCGTTGAGATTGAGTTTGGGCACGCGCCGCCGGTTGAATTGATTTTGAAAACATGCCCGACGAGATACCCGCGCCTGATACCGACGTCGACACAATCGACGACGTCCTCGACGACGCAGCCAAGTGGCTCGCGTCTGGTACCTCCACATTGTGGTGACGGCATGATTTCTGAAAGTGGAATGCAGGCGATGCGACGCTTGCCTCTATTGCTCAGAGCATACCCATGTCAACGCTTCCAGTGCCGAGTCCCATGCGCCCAGTGTCACCGTTACCAAGAACACCGACTACAATGCTCTTGCAAAGCCTGGTCTGCGATCTGATCGACCAGATTCTGGAGACACTGCCAGTGCCGCTGGTCAAAGCCGACGTCTTGGCGCAGCAGCGTGTCTGGAAAGACACCCGGCGGAATCTGCGTCGCGTTGCGCGCCGAAAGCGATATCAGCATGCGATCCATCACGTGCGCGATGCGCTTGTGGTATACTTTATCATGTCCATCCGTGTACCACAGTCATGTAGGACGATGTCGTCCATAGTATGATACTGGATCTGTGGACCGAGGCATGTGCGGCGCGGCACGGTGTCCGTAGCCTGTTCCTCACGGCACTACAACACGTGCTCTGCCAGCCAGACCAAAACGACGCGGTGTCAAGTGCATTGGATGAGCTCCAGACGCGCCGGCGCCGTCAAGACCAAGTGGATCAGAGCTGTCTCGTTCTTATATCTTCGGTGCTGCGACCGAGACCACCCCCGCCACCGACCACGGCGTTGCCGACGCAACCAGCGACTCTGCAAGTCTACGCAGCGCTCCCGCCGCCGATGGAGATTGCCGAGCGATGCATCGCGCCGCCGGCACCGACGATGGTACTAATGATCTTTCCACTTTTAGTGTCTGTACACCGGTGTATGGTAGGTGACGGTGCAGCGAGCGTACTGGAAGCATGTGCGACTGACGCCGGTGGTCATCAGCGCGAAATCACGCCACACCATTGATCATGTATGGACGCGCGGACGGCATTTGTACGTTATCGGTACCAAAGGCGACGTGACCGTCATCGATATGACCTCCGACGCCATTGCGCGCGAGGTCCAGGGTTCGAACCCGATCACGCACCTGGATATTGGGTTGATGCCGGGGTATTTTCTGACCGTCAGCAAAAAGCAAACTGCCTTGCTGTCCGTCAACGCTGCGAGCGTGCGCACCGTTGCAACGTGGACGAAGGCCGACCTGACGCGACCAAGCTACACCATCGACGACGTGGTCCTGGGCCACATTTTGCCGTCGATCTCGATCGTCGGCGCCCCGAGAAGCGTGGTTGTCGGTACCAAAGACGGTGCTATCGTTCGCCTTCAGCTCTATCACCCGCAACGCGCTGCATCGACCGTCACCCGGGACTTTTTCCATGGACATAACAGCCCGATCGTGTATCTTGGACACCGGGGCACGGACCTTGTGAGCGCCGACGTCGCCGGCGTCGTGTGCTTCTGGACCACGACACCGCGGTATCGCACGGGCTTTGGCTGGTGGGCGCCGTCGGCGACCGTCCATCTCAACACCACCGTGCACGCGGCAGAGACCACATCGACCGGTACCCACCTCGCACTTCTCGTTGGCGGCGCTGGCTCGACCCAGATTCTGCAGCTGACGCTTCCAGACCCTCGCGCTCGTCCCCGTCGAGATCTCTCTCCCGCGCTTGCGACCGCCGTTTGAGTTGGCGCTGCTGCCACCCGTCGAAGGTCTCCCGGGGGATTCCGCGCTCGTTTCGTATGAAGGCATTTTGTTTGTGTACTCCCTCTGGACTGGCACGGCCGTGAACTCGACACCACTAAAAGAACCATGGTCTCCTTGAGCACGAGTCATGACCGCATCCTTGGTCTCGTCAA